GGATCCTACGCAAATTTCTGGGGTTTCCAGTGTGATATTTGATAAGTGCAAATGGGCTGAAAATATTCTCAATATTTTTTGGTTTCGTGCAATTAGCGGTGACTGCTGAGGCCCATCTCACCGACTGTAGTGTCCCGCCAGTGGTTGCAGCGGCCAGGCCAAGGCCAGCCTTTGTTCCAGACCACCGCGGCCCTCCGGTAAGGCGTGCTTCACCATCTGTGCCTGCAGAGGAAAGCAGGGGTCCAGCCCCATGTCCTCACAAGCATGTGTCCCCTGCAGGCAGAGAGAAAGCAGTGTCTCCCACTCTCCCCGCGCAAAATGCCCCGGTGGCAGCCCAGTGGCCCCCAGCCAGGCCACCATCCTTGCTAGGGGATGTCAGAGCTTTCAGCCACCAAATGTCAGGGCTAGAAGAAATCTCAGTGTTCATTGACCCAGCCTCCTCATCGATGAGCAGGGGACTCCTCAAAGGCAAGCTCCCTGAAGGCAGGGCAGGGCTGGCTCTGGTCTCTGTATCTTTATTTCCTGGAGCCTGGCACAGAGCTGGGCACCTCACATAGAAGGTGAACGAGTGAGGGAAGGCTCGAATGAACCCACTCCTTTGTTCTCTTCTTATCTTCACAGATTCACACTTCCAACGGGTCACACTTGACTCTGTCCCCCTCAGCTTCTCAGTAGAATGAGCCCCCCACGCTGTTCCCTTCCCAGCTCACAGGATCCTCGGCCCCAAGCCCACCGTGGTCCTGGCACGACAGTCAGGATTCCTGACATCAGCCTCTGCATTAGCTTCCAAGGGCTGCTGCAACAGAGGACCACAAACTTGGTAAAGCTCAGCTTATAACAGAACCTTCCCCACAATTCAGGAGGTTGGGAGTCTAAAATCGAGGTGTCGGCAGGGTTGGCTCCTGCTGAGGGCTCTCAGAGCCTCTGTTCCAGGCCTCTCTCCAGCTTCTGATGGTTGCCAGCTCTCCTCAGGCTTCCCTGACATTCGGGTCCGTCATCAGCCCAATCCCTGCCTCCACCTTCACGCGGTGCTCTTCCTGTGTGTCTCTCCTCTTGTAAGGAACTTTATCCCAGGACCCACCTTTTCCACTGCACTGACCTACGCCAACTGCCAAAGTGCTGTGTGACCTCAGATAGGTGTCTTTACCTCTCTGTGTCAGTTTTCCTGCTTCAACTTTGCAAGGAATTAAGAGCTTACCCAATTCCAGTATGACCTCATCTTAATGAATCACATCTGCAGTGACCCCACTTCAATAAGAAATAAGGCCACATTCTAAGAGTCCAGGAAAGACATGGATTTTAGGGCAATGCTATCCAACCCAGAACAGCCTTCCTGCCCTGACCTGACAAGTGTCTGTGTTATTCTCCACCTCCGTCCAAACTCACTGCCCTTTCCTTTAGCAGGGGCACAGGCTTCCGGAATGCGGTCTCTTCTGCTCACCAGTCTGAACAGCAGTTGAGAGGTAGAGGGTAGGGAGCTTGTTTTGTCTGTCACCGTTTCCCTCCATGGACATGGACACTCTGGGGCTCCCTGAACTGCCAAGTCGGAACTGTGACTGCCCACGCTGCACATTAGGATCCCCTGGGAAGCTCTTAGAACCCATGGGACACTAACCACTCTCCCAGCACGCTGCTTTGCCAGGTCAGAGGGAACCTGACATGGGTGTGTTTCAACCTCAGCAGGTGAAGCCTGGGGTAAAAATAACTGTATCAGATGCTGGGAAAACAGGTCTCTCCTTAGGAAAGGGGATGCAGCACCCCCACACATACACATACACACCAGGAATATGAGTTTCTGCACTTCACTGCCTGGCAGGTCCTAAATACCTGTTCGAAAACTCCCCACCTAGTCCACAAGCTGTGTAAGAGAGGATGCGTACTGGGAGGACCTGAAACAGACAGCAGCAAGCACAAGATGGCCTTAGTTTCCGGTTTTACTTTGAAAGTTTCAATTTTGCATTCCCTTCTATGACACAGCCATCTTGTTTTACAATAAAAAAAAAGATTATTTTCTTCCTCTTTAAATATCCAAGTATAGAAATGAGGCTCCAGAAAGATGTGCCATGTTTAAATGGTGCCTTTGCATATTCTTTGACACACCATTATGTTCCCCTGAGCTTCCTCTGAGGTTGATAAATGTAGGCACAGAGTTAGAGGGGCAGCCAATCTGCTTAAACTTTGGAAAGAACTGCATCTTACGGAAGAAAGCCTGTGTCCAGAGAGATTAAGTAACTCACCTAAGGCCACACAGTTCATTATCAGCCAACTGTATCTCAAAGTCCAACTTCTCCCTGGCATTGACTGAGGTCAACTGCTGATTTGCTGTGTGACCTTGGATAAGTGAGTTAACCTCTCTGTGTTAGTTTTCCTGCCTGTAAAATACTGCTGATATCTGTTCCACCTCAGAGGATCTGTGTAGAAGCACTTAAAAATTATATGGAAAGGCATGGTGCTGTAACTGTGGGGGTTGCAGCCTGACACTTCCAGGAGAGACCAGTGATTCCCGCCAGAGCGACCCCTCCAGGGTCATGCTGAGCAAGCCACAGTCTGAGGGAAGACCAGTGTGGTGGGCTCTGTGCCTTGGAGCCAGCAGAGAGGTCCAAGTGAACTCCCTAATGTTCCAGCATGGGGCGGGGGGGGGGGGGTAAGCTGAGTCCTCAGGAGCTCACACCTGCCCCTGTCTGCTCTCTACGGCTCCCAGCTTTTATCTGCCAGGCTCCAGCCACCATAACAGACTGAGAAGGCATTTCCCCCCAAACAACCTTCTTGTCCCAATCCTGAGAGTGTCATTAAAAAGGATAAGTCATGGAAAAACGAGTGGCAAACAGCAGCAGTGCCAGCATCTTCTTTCTCCTCTCACAAGGCCGCAGAGACCTTTCCCCACCACTGGTCTCTTCCAGGAAGTGGGTGGCCGCCAGGCGCTCCAGACCCCTCCCTGCTGTCCCAGGCCTGCTCGGCTCCTCGGCCCATGTCCGCCCTTTTCTGTTTACACTGGGAGATGAGCTTCTGCGGAGCTTAAGTGCAGTCCTGGCCGTTCTGTTTGTTTTTAAGTCAAGTTACAACTTTGCTCCTAGATTTATTGCAAATTCCATTTATCTTCTTCGGTCCAGGGTCTTTGCACAAATCCTTCAGAGCTTCCCTCCTCCTCTCTGGACAGATAAGCAGGAGCACGGGGTGGTGTGGGGAGGGGGGAAGAGGAACACAGGGATGGGTGGGTACAATGACCGACAGACGTGGAGGAGACACACACCAGGAAGGGCGGGAGGCCGTCCCCCTGTGGTGCAGGAGGATGAAGCGGGTCTGGCAACGCAAGCGCAGCCATAGATCACCCAGGGGGGACAAGGCCAAAGGAAGGCCAGCCGTCCAACCTCCTGCCCCCTTCTTGCAAAGGCCTCCATAGGGAGGGAGAGCCGGGCTGAGAGGCAAAGAAACCCCAGGCCTTAACTCAGGGAATCAAGAAAAGAAATTCTGATCTGGAGGGAAGGAGCCCAGGCGGTTTCTGGCAGGCGTTGGTCCAGTTCCAAAGGGCCTTTAAAAAAGTACACCACGAGGGGCTGTCTGACAAGACTGTGGGTCCGAGGGTCAGGCCCACGGAGGCCCTCCCCATGCCAGGGAGGCCTAATGGGAAGACTCAGGCCACAACTGCACACCAGCGCGCTCCAGAGAGTTCCCGTCCCTCCTCTTCCTCCCCTGACACCACAGTTTCCATAAACTGCTGATGAAGAGCAAACAACTACAGGCTGAAGCTCACCAGGGGGAGAAAGAGAATCAAACTGAGCCGAACAAACTGAGAGTGGGGAGTCCAGCCGTGCTGTTGGCTTGTCCTCCCTGGACAGGAAGTGACAACGGCCTGTCCTGCTTCCCCAGCAGGACTCCCCGGCTCAGGGTTGTGCCAGGAGCACTCACGGGCTTCCAGACAGGTCTGGCAGTGTGGGAGAGGTGAGGGGTGCTCCCAGGGGCTGGGACCCTGGACTGCTGGCATCTCAGTGCCCAAGGGCTTAGCCTCAGAGTAGGGTGCTAGCCTTCCCTGGCCCTAGGGAGCAGCTGCCCGAAGCTGGGGTGACCACTGTGTGTCCTCACAGCAGGAGTCACTTCTCACATCCTCCCTCCACATCATGGTCTGAAGGCATGGGACTCAGCCCTCAGCAGTCCACCCAGCCCAGCGCCCCACCCCGGGAGCCTCAGGAAGTGGGGGCTGCGTGAACCGGAACAGGGCAGGCCCCTCCGCCTTGGGGAGCCATTCTGGCCTCCACACAGGTGCTGTTGCTCACACGCGGAAGGGCTCTCCACAGCAGTTTCGCAGGCCACGCCTGGCTCCCACCCTCCTGGAGCTGCCGGGCCCTGGTTCTTTGTGTCACCCATCACTCTGCCACAAGACCGGCCTCGCCCTCCGCGCGGCGGGCCCTCGCCTGCACGCCCTCGTGTCTCCAGCCTCCAGCCTGCTGCGGCCTGGCTGCCTGGGCCCCTGCACCGCCTCCCATGCTCACCTCCCAGACCTCGCAGCCAGCCGCTCCCCCTCACCCCTTCCTTTCTCCTGCTTTCTCTCCCAACCCTCTCCGGGCCCACCTCCTGCCCATGTCCCTTTGGGAGCTTCCTTTTCTACCAAGTGCTCATCTGCACCCTGGGGCTCGGGAACTCCATAGGGCCCATCACCCATTTGCCCTGCAGGTTCCAGTCTGCAGCAGGGGCACAGCCACCCCACTAGCTGCACAGCTCACCCGAGGCCCATGCTCCTTGCTGGCCAGAGAGTCAGCCAGACCAGTGTCCCTGAGGCTTCCATCCCCCTGGGACCCCCGCCCCCCACCTGGGCCCCACCTCTGCCTTCCATCTGCAGAATCTCACTGCACACAAGACCGAGAGGGTCCAGGCATCCCCACAGGGGCTTCCTCACGCCTCTTTCTCCCCACCTCATGGCTCCTTCACATCACACTTTTGTCTTCCTTCCCTTGGGCTGAGCGCAGCTGATACCCCATCCTCCTCTGCAAAACCGACTTACTTACCTGGCCCAAGGTGGCATCATGGGCTCCTGTGTCTTCTGTGCCATGTGGTCACCTGCCCTCATTCCTGGATCAGAAGCTGCATTTAATGGGATTCCTGGTGATGCAAATGTACAACCACAGTTGAGAAGCACTGCCCCAAAGCCTGGCCACATTGTCCTGATCCTAAAATGGCTTCCTTTGGTCCCACTTTCTCTCAGTTCACCATTGTTTTGTTCTCATTCCATTACTTGTGAACTTCTTTATAGGATCCCTTACACCTTCTTTTTTTTTTTAAGATTTTATTTATTTATTCATGAGAGACACACAGAGAAAGAGAGGGGAAGAGACACAGGCAGAGGGAGAAGCAGGCTCCATGCAGGAAGCCAGATGCAGGACTCCATCCCTGGTCTCCAGGATCACACCCTAGGTATAAAGGAAGCACTCAACCACTGAACCACCCAGGCATCCCATACCTTCTGCCTCTATTTCCTCTCCTCAGGTTTTGGCCACTGGCTGCTACCTGGGGCCATTGTCATACACCTTCCTCCAAACAGTGGCCCAGGAGCCACCTCTATGACCTCCTCCTCACATGGCTCAGCCCCACTGACCATTCAGATTCCCTCCCTCAGGCTGTCCTGACAACCTTCTGCCAGGTTTCCGTTTCCTCCCTGGGCAGGTGCTCCTTACCTGTCCCTCCACCTGGCTTCTCTTCCCCGCACACCTATCCATCTTACCTGCATCTGCATCTTCAACCATTACTGCTATGAGCCCAAAGAGTCACTGAAATGTCCACATTTTTGCCTAACCGATGGCCTTCTCTACACACAAACCCTGTGGACGTCCCAGAGTCTCTCTGATTACATTGATCACCTCCTCTCTCGACCCATCTCTCTTCCTGCCTTGCCCATCTCTGTTCAGGAATCTCCATCCTCCCCACCGCCCGGGCTCAAAACCCTCAGAATTGTCACCATCTCCTTCTTCCCCTCCTCGCACATCCAATCAGCCTCCAGAAGCCTGCAGAATCTTCTTTTGCATTATTTTGTATATACCTACCTTTCTGTCCCAATGTTGCTATCTAAATTCAAACCCCTGTCATCTCTCCCCTGGACCTTTCCCCTCTGCCTGTGGGCCTCCCCTCCCATGTCCATCTGCCCTTGGACACAGAGCCCATCAGGGTGGCCGTCTCCCTTTCAGAAGCCCATTTGAACTTGGCGCTGCTCCTGGCTCCCCAGACAGGGAGACCCCTCCTGTCCTTCCAGCCTGGTCCTTGTCACTGCCATCATCCCTCGCAGATACTGACTTGTCATATGATGTATTCCTGTGCCCAGACCATAGCTCCCTACTTTCCACTCCCAGAATTTTCTACCCTGCACTCACCCAGTTTTCTGGTTTCTCTTTTTGTTCGTTTGTCTTATCTGCCAGAGATACCTCCTCTTCTTTGCTTCCATACCCACCTGTCAGCACTTCATCCAACCATACTCAAGGTCTAGTCCATAGCCCACCTCTTGAAGAAACCTGCAAGATTCCAAAGGTAAAATCCATCTCTCCCCTTCCCCATTCACTCTTAAAGTGGTGTTTGTTTCCTATTACAACTGCATCCCAGTGTGTGTGTGTGTGTGTGTGTGTGTGTGTGTGATCTCCTTGGTTATGTGGCCCTGCAGGCCAAAGAACAGCTAGTTCTTATGCAACTTGAAACTACACATGTGAATTAGGTCCTTTCCCTTGATTTCATAGATGATAAAACTGTGGCCAAAGTGGCCCCGGACTTTGCTGCCAGTCAGCAGCAGCATCACATCCCAGCCTTGGGCTCCTGGTTCCTGATGAGGTTCTAGGGAGACAAGGAATCCCAGGCTCAGCTGCACATCGTCTGACAGCACATGTCCTCCACAGATGTGCTCAACTGTCCTCAACTCTTTCCCTTCTCCCACAGACTGGGTGGAATAGAATCAGGACAGAGAGACCTTGGATGAGGAGTCAGGGGTCACGCAGCCCATTTTTCCATCACAACCACCCCCAGGCCCACATCAAATAGCCAACAGTGAGTACAGTCCTGTTTTTTGAACCTCTAGGGAAATTGCTTCCTCGCCTTTTTTTAGCAAAGGATGCCATCACCCCCACCATCTCCAGTGAAAAATCTCTCTCTTTGTTCTTCTCAAAATTTCCCACCCCTCTAACCCTCAACACCCATGGTAAATCTTTCCTCCAGCTAGGTCTTCTGCAGGGGTGGGAAGAGCATCTCCTGCACTCCCTCCTGCACTATCTTCATTGCAGGAAGATTTCGGGAGCTTGTTAAGCCTTGTAGCTCCTATAAGGAAATGCACCATATAAAAGTAAACAAATTAGTGTGTTTTGTCAAAGTCAAATAGGACACCACCCCCCTGTCCGCACTGGGTAGTCACATAGGTCATTTGTGGGAATTCAGAGAAAGCCAAGCTTTTTCATTCGGCAAGAGTTTACACAGATCTTTGTGCTTGGGCACCCACGGCACAGTATGCACCCAGCCCCTACCACCTGGTTTGGCCTGGGACAACCCAGAATCTGTTAGATGCATTTTTCAGCTTTTCTTGCTTCCAATCTAGCTGTGGCCTTACCTCAAATCCAGTGAAGGATTCTGTTTTTCAGTTTCAGAAGGAATTGGTTCATTTACCTTCACAAAAGCCAGTGGAAGGATCAGGCGTGTAAGACTCCAATCCTTTTGGTAAATTTCAAAGAACTGGCTGTGTAAACCCCATTGCCACTCTAACCTGGGATGGCACAGATGGCGCCGTTGCTGCTGGTAGCAGCAAGGGACATTTCCAAAGTCCTCTACCCCACATCCACACAACCTGGAGCAGAAAAATAGTCCTTTCTCAGGAGGTGCTTGTGTTATCTTTCAAGGCTAAGCTAGAGCAAGCTGACCCAGGAAAGGGCTCTCACAGTTGAATGCTTTCGCTTGCTTGCGTGGGAAGTACAGCTGTCTCACTGGGGCCCAGGAGACAGACAGACGAGGGGAGAATTCCTGTGTTTGGGATTGAGTTTGCAAAGTCTCCTGTTTGTAACACCCAGCCTGCAGAAGAGCAGAAAGAATTTCCAGCTGTTGTTGGGATGAGAGAGCCCCCATGACTCTGACCAGAGCTGTTTCTGTGCTCAGGACTCTGCTGTCACTCCTCCTGGGCTGGTCACCCCATCAGACATCGGTCCCCTGGGCCAGCTCGGGAATCAGATGACCCCTTGATAGAGAGAAGACAAGTTGCAAAAGCTGAAATAGTGTATGATTCTGCTTATATGAGGCACCTAGAGTATTCAAATTCATAGACACAGAAAGTAGAGCAATGGTTGGGGGGTCAGAGGCAGGGGAGGGAGGGGAGAAAGAATGGGGAGTTCATGTTGAACTGATACGGAGTTTCAGTTTGGGAAGATGAAAACGACAGATGGTGAACAATGTCACAGGACACTGTGCACTTAAAATTGGTTAAAATGGTATATTTTATGTTATGCATGTTTTACCATAATAAAAAAAAAGAGGCGGGAAGAAATACAAGTGGGGACTCAGCCCAGATCACATCACTGCTGGGAGGAGGCAGCCAGGTGACTCAGTTCTCAGCCCTTAAGAGAGGTTGTGTGTCTGTGTGTGTGTGTGTGTGTGTGTCTTTACACTCACACACACATGCCCAAGCATGCTGGGGGAGTCTGTGACCCCACAGGAGTGAAAATGAGTCCATAAATAGCATGATGAAGGAGGTGAGCATACTGGACAAAGCCATTTAATCTCTGGGTGCTCCCCATGACTAGTTCGGGGGTCATTCTGCATAATGCAGACCAATCGAGGGTTCTCAGCGGAAGCTGTTGTTTAAATGCCAAAGAGCCTGTGTAATATCCTTGGAGGGCTGAATGGGAGGCCTTTTCTCCATGACCTGTTCACAAACGCATTTGGCTTGTTCTATGAAAGACTAGATTTTTGGAGTCCGAGAAATTGGAGCTAAAGTTCAGGGCCAGCCACTGTGTAGCCAGTCATAATGCACGTTTAAATGTAAATGCCTAAGATCAAAAGAGCGGTGAATGTGAAAATGCTTTCTGTAAACTGTAAAGTGCCTCACTGTCGTCTTTTATCCTTCCAATTGAGCCTGGCTATGGGAACAAGATAACAATGGATTTTAAAGAATTCATACAGCAGGAAAGTTAGCATAGATCCTAAAAAAACAAATTCAATCTGCATGACCTGTTTTAGGATTCTTCAGGCTTTGGAGGCAGCCCAGTAGCAATCACAGCTGAGAATAAAATCAAAAGTCCTAGGAGCCAGATTTTCTGAGAAAATAAATTCCATAGCCTTTGGCAGGAAGGGTTGGCCCAAGTTAAATCAGGTATTCCTGTAAAGAGTGGCTCATTAAAACTTTATCAGTTATCAATATTGAGGCATATAGTCATTTCTATCGGATCCTTACTTTTTTTTTAAGATTTATTTATTTTTAAAAAGATTTATTTATTTATTTATTTATTTGAGAGAGAAAGAAAGAGCATGGGCAAGGAGGGGAGAGAAAGAATCTCAAGCAGACTCCCTGCTGAGTGCAAAGTCTGCCATGGGGCTCAGTCTCAGGACTCTGAGATCATGACCTGAGCCGAAACCAAGAGTTGAGCAGACTCTTTGCTGACTGAGCCACCCAAGGGCCCTAGATTCTTATTTTTTTTAATTCACATGCCATAAAACCCATCATTTAAAGTGCCTAATTCAGTGTTTTTTTTTTTTTAGTATATTCACAAGGTCATGTAATCAATCATCAATTACTATCTAATTCAGAATATTTTCATCATCCCAGAAACAAATCCCATTAGTAGTCACTCCTTGTTCCTCCCTCCTCCCAGCCCCAAGCAACCAGTAATTTACTGCCTGTCTCTACAGATTTGCATATTTTGGACATTTCATACAAATGGAATTATAAAATATATGATCTTTTGTGTCTGGCTTCTTTCACTTAGCATAATGTTTTCAAGATTCATCTATGTTGTAACATGAATCAGAATCTCCTCCTTTTTTATGATTGAACAATATTCCATTCATTGGTTGCACATTTTGATTGTTTCTACTCTTTAGCTAATGTGAATAATGCTGATATGAACACTTATGTATTACTGTGGTGAACGTGTATTTTTAATTCTCTTGAGTACATTACCAAGAGTGGAATTGCTGGGTCATATGGTAACTCTATGTTTAACTTTTGGAGGAACTATCAAATTGTTTTCCAAATCAGCTGTATCATTTTACTTTCCCACCAGTAATATCGAGTGAATTTCTTCACATTCTTGCAACACTTGAAATTGTCTTTTTTATTACTGCCATACAAGTAGGTGTGAAGTAGTATCTCATTGTGATTTTGATTTGCAATTTCCTTATGACTAAAAATGTTGTGCATCTCTTCATGTGCATATTGGCCATTTGTATATCTTCTTTGGAGATATGTCTATTCAAATCCTTTGCCTATTTTCAAAATTTAGAATGTTTGTCTTTTTATTGTTCCATTGTAAAAGTTCTTTACATATTCTGGATATAAATCTCTTATCATATATGTGATTTGTAAATATTCTTCCTGGGCCACCTGGGTGGCTTGGAGGTTGAGCGTCTGCCTTTGGTTCAGGTTGTGATCCTGGGGTCCTGGGATCAAGTCTCACATCAGGCTCCCCACAGGGAGCCTGCTTCTCCTTCTGCCTATGTCTCCGCCTCTCTCAGTGTCTCTCATTAATAAATAAAATATTTAAAAATAAATAAATAAATATTCTTCCCATTCCACTGGGTTGTCTTTTCACTTTCTTGATAGCATTTTTGCACAATTCTTTTTCATTTTTATGAAGCCTAGTTTACTTTTTCTTTGTTGCCATATTTTTCATATCATAGCCAAGAAACCATTGCCTAATCCAATGTCGCAAAGATTTGTTATTCTTTCTTCTGAGAATTTTATGTTTAGCTCTTTGATACATTTTTTAGTTTTGTATATGGTGTGAGGTAGGGATCCAACTTTTTTTTTTGCATACAAATATTTGCATACAAATATTTGTCTCAGGACCATAAGTTGAAAGGACTATTCTATTCCTATTGAATTGTCTTGATAACAATGTCAAAAATGGGTCTTTCTTCTTTTCTAAAATAAGCATTTAAAGCTTTAAAATTCCATCCAAAAGATAAGTGAAAGGAATCAGACACAAAAGCCTACATAATGTAAAATTCTCTTATATGAAATGTCCAGAATAGGCAAATCCATAGAAACAGAATGTTGATTAATGATTTCCAGGGGATAAGGGACAAAGGAGTTAGAACTGACTGGTAATAGGTATGCGATTTCTTTTGGGGATGATAGGAATATTCTGAAATTAGATAGTAGTGATTATTACTTTATTACATAGTGAATGTAGTGAAAAGCACCAAACTGCACACTTTAAAATGATGAATTTTATGTTATCTGAATTGTATCTCAATTTTAAAATGTTAGGTTAGGTACATGGGTATACAGAAAAGCTAACAACTGTTACTTTATTGCAATTGGAAT